CGTCACCTAATCCCACGGCACTAAGCAGTTTCTTCATCTGCTTTTGCTCAAGGGGATAAAAGCACAATTCCCCCAAAGTAACCTGCTCCAAAGTCTCTGGAAACAACAAAAAGTTTGGTCTCAACTCAGCTTATGGTTGGCTTATGGTTGAATCCAGCACTTGTTCTGGGGTTAATTCCTGCTCCACTCTTCCCGGTGGAAGAAAACCAAGAAGGGTTCAGTCTGTTTGGAAAGAATGTGATTTCCTTAAGAATGTGGCTTTGGGCCTTGTAGGAAGAAGCCAGCTGAGGATGCTTTCACCTGTAGTGCTGGAGCAGGCTTTTGACTGAAATCTGTATCAGCAGGGAACATTCAGTGTAAACACACCGTGAATAACAGAGGATGTACAGGTATGCTGAGGCAAAAACCACTCAGGCTCTGTTCCCAACTGCACTTGTAACATCGCTAGTTTGCATTTTAGGGAGAACAGGGAGCTTATAAATGTGCTGCAACATCCAGCTTTTGGATATCAGCTGCCAGAGTGCAATAGAATACCCAGTCAGGTACCTCGTCCTTCTATTTATAGCCTGGAGAGTGTCAGACACTTCCCAAGGACGAGTGGAAACTCCCACCTGCCAAGCAGAGAGACCTGTGAGAAGAAAACATCAAAGAAGGGATGTATTAGACTTGCTTTGCATAGCCAGTGTGTAGGTGTTTCCATCAGCTCGGGATCCTGGGCCCACACATCTGGGGTTTTGGAGTCTGTCAGGACTCTTTGAAGGATCAGAGCAAGGACAACAATTCCTGTTTAACACCGTGGGTGTCAGGGTTGCATCTGATGTTTGTTATATGTGCTGATCTAGGTGGCAGAGAAATACCCAGGAAAGGGAAGACTCTCTCCAAACCCATCCAGGTGAGAGTCCAAATGTCTCTCTACCTGCTTGGACCGTGTCTTCCTCCAGGCTGAGGCACTGAGGGTTTGCTGGGTGGTTACCTCACACTCCTGGTAAAAATGGGCTGCAGCAAAAAAATAAACCTCAAAGAACAGAGCAAGAGGCTTAACTGTGTTTCCTATTTGTTGTAAGAGAGGAATTTCACTTCTATTCACCCTTACAATTTGTTTTGGTTTTTAAACTAGTGACCATTTCAGACGAAAAGCAGAAGTGGGGACAGCAGCCAATACATCACAATGATTCTGCTGTTCAATCCTTGATTGAGAGGTTATCAATAAAATTTGACAGGAGAACACTCTGTGCCCTCTGCAGCATCACAGTTTGCCTACAGAGGATTTTCTTTGACTCCATGCAAGTGGCTGTGGGCTACAGCTTTATAATTCCATTTGCCTGAACTTTCACCAAAAGTACATTCAGAAAATGTAATTATTTCAGGGTTAAATTTGGGGATAGGTTTCCCTCCACCTTCCATACTGATTTTCATTTGTGCAAGAGTGGGAAGAATCACCCTCACAAAGAACAATATCCCATGTGAAGGAATGAAGAGCAGAAAGAACAAGTTAGCAGATTGCCACATAATGATCTCCTCAGTACAAAATGTATCTGGTAATGACAATTATATTGCCAAGGAACAGAGAAACTCAAATTGGTTCTCAAAGCTTCGATGGCTAAAATGTGGGGATATTATCATAAAATCATCAGGTCTGTATGAGAATGAGGGGTTTAACCTTCCAGGCATGTCTAATAGCTGCACAGGATAATGAGTTCATAAATTCATATCGCTTGTTTACCTCTAATTAATGCTATTATGTTTATTCCTCTTAGCACAATATTTCTCTTAACACAATAAAATCAGTAGCAGTTGGGAATTTGGGTGAAAAACACCTGATTAACGTGTTTTATCTTAAAGCAACATTGCAATACTTTAAAATCTTGGCATTACCCAAACACATCGAGACCCGTGCGGTGACCTAAATATTGTCAGTGAAAGGTGTCACTGCAGCACGTTAAGGAAACCCATTCTGGCTGTAACTTACCTGGCTCAGGTAACACCTGCAAAGCTGCACAGCAAACCCTGAGCCTGCCAAGGACCTGAAGCAGATACTCGGGTTGCCTGGAAGGGCACACAGATGTGTTATCGCTGACGTTGTTATTTGAGCTCGTGAGATTAAGCCCAGGCTGTACCTCAGCTTCCTAAATTCAGCATCGACATCCACGTGAGTGGAAAGTAGCAAATGTGCCAGTTTGGATGCTCAGAGGAGCAAACAAGTGAAGCTCAGCATGAAGATGGAGGTATGCAGTAAGAAAAAAATGATTTGGGGTTGGAAGGACACTCCTAAACTTGCTTTTTCCCTAGAACTTGTGTTTCAGCACGGCTCTCATCACGGGACTATATCGTGATATAAGGTAGAACTTCTGAATGACCTCAAATTTTACTGCCATGGGGGAAAAAGGGGAGTAACAAAAATCAACAAACATGAAGTCTGCATTGAATTGGAGTCTGGACAGTCTCTAAATCTGAGCTCCTGTAGTTCTGTTGTTTAATTGGATCTTTTGCAAGCCATTGGGAAACCTGGCAGCATTCAGTAAACTCCACGCTGATTTTTTATTATCTATAGCAAATAAATGATTGTAGGATTAGCATTGGTCAACGTCTGTGACTGTGCTGTAACCTTTGTCAGTCTGTACAGAAACAGGGGGTGACATTTCTCCAACTGCTGCAGCCTGGGATGTGCAGAGACACTGACTTTCCAGTAATCACTGCCGTGGGGAAACGGCTCTGTGCTCTGACAGAATGGCCTTTAATCCATTTACTGCTGTACTAAAATCGTGTTTATAGGCAGAATTACTGATATATTTCTGTAACTCCAGGCGGAGGTCCCGCATTTTCAGGCTGTTGGAAGGGCATGGCTGTCCTCTGGCGCTGACCATCGCTCCTGCTGCTCAGCAGTTTCCCGTTTGCCAGCACTTCTTTTATCCCAACGCCGTCCACATTTTTGCAGTGCCACCAAGCGGATGGTTCCCCCGTTAGCATTTTAGTTTCACACGTTATCATTTTAAAACAAACGCAGAACTGTCCAGTAGCTGAGTGGTGATAAGCACAACCCACCCCAGCGAAGCTGCAGGGTCAGTACGATGTGGTACGGGAGGAAATTAAAGGGTCTTTAATGAAAACCCTTTAATAATGTGTTTGTGATGCTTTGAGGCCTGTGGAAACCTGTCTCTGGCTCCTCAGGAGGCAGCACAGCACGGTCACTGAGGTGTGGACATGGACCTTCTGGGCTCCTCAGTGCGAGAAAGACGTGGAACTCCTGGAGTGGGACCAGGGGAGGGCAATGAGGATGATTAAAGGACTGGAGCCTCTCTTAGGAGGAAAGGCTGAGGGAGCTGGGCCTGTTCAGCCTTGAGATGACTGAGGGGACCTCATCAACAAGTATAAATATCTAAAGAATGGATGCCAGAAGATGGACCAGGCTCTGCTCTGTGGTGCCAAGTAATAAAAGAGGCAATGGGCAGAAACTGATGCACTGGAAGTTATACCTGAACATGAGGAAGAACTTTATCGTGTCGGTGGCCAAGCACTGAACACACTGCCCAGAGAGGGTGTAGAGTCTCCCCCACTGGAGATATTCCAGAACCGTTTGGACACAACCCCGTGCCTTGTGTCTGGGATGACCCTGCTTGAGCAGGGAGGGGGGGGGGACCAGACGACCCACTGCGGTCCCTTCCAGCCTCACCCGGTCTGTGATTCTGTGGGTGACGGGAAGGCAGCACGAGGTCTGGGGGCTCATCACACCGTCCCCGGGTCGCAGTGGGGAGTGAGGGCTCCGTGACCCGGACCACCGCCAGGTGACCTCTGGGGCCAGGTAATCCCCGTAGCCAGGTAACCCCCGGGTATAGGGAACCACCAAGGCACAGGGAACCCGCGAAATCAGCTGCCCCCCGCCGCCATCTTGGCGTGCCCCTCCCTGCACCGGGCGGGCCCTCAAGGCCAGGCCTCGCCCCCGCGCGCTCAGCGTCTTCACCTCCCTCACCCCGCCAGCCAATGAGCGGCAAGCGAGGGCGGGGAAACGCTGGGAGCAGCCAATGAAAATTAAAAGGCAGCCATCGGGGGGCCAATAAGCGTCCCGCTTCGGGATTTGGGTGCTGCCCGTCAACGGCCGATTGGAGGTCGCGGGCGGGCGGGCGGGCCGGGAGTGGCCAATGAGCGTTGGCGGGTGAGATTTGAAAGCGAGGCGGGGCGGCGCGCGCAGGGGCTGAGGGCTGTGCAGGTAATGGAGGGGACGGGGCGGGACGGAATCCAGGGGGTCTCGGGGGGATTTGGGGGCCCTAAAAGGACTTTAAAGCCCTGGGAATGGGCTTCGTGACGGGACCCGCGGCGGGGGGGCGTCGTGCCTGAGGAGGGGGCTGTGGTGGCGGTGCCTCCCCGGTGAGCTGGGCTGGGAACGCCCTGGGGCGCTGAGGGGACAGTCCTGTTGGCGACCCCTCACAGCGGGGTCTGGGGGTGCCCGGCAACTCGTCCCGACCCCCGGAGTCCGTCCCGAAACCGCNTGCCTTGTGCTCTGGGATGACCCTGCTTGAGCAGGGAGGGGGGGGGGACCAGACGACCCACTGCGGTCCCTTCCAGCCTCACCCGGTCTGTGATTCTGTGGGTGACGGGAAGGCAGCACGAGGTCTGGGGGCTCATCACACCGTCCCCGGGTCGCAGTGGGGAGTGAGGGCTCCGTGACCCGGACCACCGCCAGGTGACCTCTGGGGCCAGGTAATCCCCGTAGCCAGGTAACCCCCGGGTATAGGGAACCACCAAGGCACAGGGAACCCGCGAAATCAGCTGCCCCCCGCCGCCATCTTGGCGTGCCCCTCCCTGCACCGGGCGGGCCCTCAAGGCCAGGCCTCGCCCCCGCGCGCTCAGCGTCTTCACCTCCCTCACCCCGCCAGCCAATGAGCGGCAAGCGAGGGCGGGGAAACGCTGGGAGCAGCCAATGAAAATTAAAAGGCAGCCATCGGGGGGCCAATAAGCGTCCCGCTTCGGGATTTGGGTGCTGCCCGTCAACGGCCGATTGGAGGTCGCGGGCGGGCGGGCGGGCCGGGAGTGGCCAATGAGCGTTGGCGGGTGAGATTTGAAAGCGAGGCGGGGCGGCGCGCGCAGGGGCTGAGGGCTGTGCAGGTAATGGAGGGGACGGGGCGGGACGGAATCCAGGGGGTCTCGGGGGGATTTGGGGGCCCTAAAAGGACTTTAAAGCCCTGGGAATGGGCTTCGTGACGGGACCCGCGGCGGGGGGGCGTCGTGCCTGAGGAGGGGGCTGTGGTGGCGGTGCCTCCCCGGTGAGCTGGGCTGGGAACGCCCTGGGGCGCTGAGGGGACAGTCCTGTTGGCGACCCCTCACAGCGGGGTCTGGGGGTGCCCGGCAACTCGTCCCGACCCCCGGAGTCCGTCCCGAAACCGCCGAGTCCAGGCCTTATTCAGCGTTAAACTTGCTGCGATTAAACATAGCGGTGTTTGCTCTGCCTGCTCTGATTTCTCGCTGTTCGCTTTAAAAGTACAAACTGAGCACCTGAATGTTTTTATATCTATTATTACTATCCAGTTATTATTGCCGTTTAGTTCTTGTGGTGTTGCTGGTCAAAAGCAGCTCTTTTCCCTCGCTTTTATTTTTAAAAATAAATTTTCAGTTTTAGTGTTCGGTAGTTATATGTTAGTCACTCTACAAATCTTTTGTATAAGCCTTCTGTCCCATTCCCGATAACGGTCTTTATTTGAATTTATGCCAATTTAAATCCCAACTAATCTTCTAGGCTCCAGTTTGGGCGAGGTACCACACAGGAACAGTGACCTGGAGAGAAGAGACAGGTATGTTTGTTCTAAATATAACTAAGATATTGAGCACGTCGTGCATTTTTAATGAGAGATCATTGGTAACTTCCTGCATTGCTTTTACTGACTTGAGAAGTGAGTTGGCAATACCTTTGTGGGAAGCTCTCTCTGTGCCTCTGCTTATGTTATATTTGCCTTCTTCAAGTTTTGGTTTAATTTTTATGCAGGATTTCTTACTGAGGTGTAGATCAGTTGTTCATGATGGACTTCAAGAAATCCCCTATACCCATTGTCAAGGCTGATCTTTTCAGTCCAGTTCACTGATCATTCCTTTAGTTTAATCAGAGCTTGCTGTCTTGAAATGAAGAACCTCAGTAAATGACCAGTTTATCAATAAATTAGTAACTGTTGGGTATTTAGTTTAGCTCTATCACCCTGCTTACTGTAGAGCTGTTTCCTGGAAGTGGTGGAAGATGAGATGTCTGAAAGACCCTGCTTGAGGTGGAAGACCCTCAACGAGACAGGGTTCAGTGGGATGCAGGGGATGATAGAATCCCAGAAGGGTTTGGGTTGGAAGGGACCTTAAAGCCAACCCCCTTAAAGTTCCAACCCCCTCCCATGGGCAGGGACATCTTCCACTATCCCAGGTTGCTCCAAGCCCCATCCAGCCTCGCCTGGAACAATTCCAGGGATTGGGCAGCCACAGATTCTCTGGGAAACACATGTCGGGGCCTCTCCACCCTCAGAGCAAACATTTTTTTCCTATTATCCCATATAACCCTCCCTTCTCCCTTATCCAAAGCCCCTCTCCAGCTCTCCTGCAGCCCTTTTAGGTACTATTAGCACAGCATATACAAACCAACTGATATTTGCCTTAAGTCTCCCTCAGGTTAAAAAAGTAGGGAGAAATCCTGCTTGAAATAACCACTATTGTATTGCAGTTGCATCCTGGAAACTCAGTTGGGGAATGGTGCCAAGTGCTCTGATGCAGGACAAAAATTCCTTGCCATCAGATAGGGTGTAATCCAAATGCTCAGTGGCAACTTCCAAGCTGCTTCCAAGTATTGTCCTACAGCCTTGTCATGGTCATCTTCTCCCTCATCTCCTTAACGTGGAAAACAGCTGTGGTGAGAACAGACCTGCTGGCCAATCCCAGGCAGGGCTGCAGTGTCCCCTCCTAATTTTGTGTCAGACTTGTTGACCACTCAACAACCGAAGTAGCCCCTGGAATTAATAAAATAACGAGAAATTACTGAAAGGGTCGTTGCTGAAATTATAATCTGGGTGTTTTTCTGGTACACGTACAGAAACAAAGAACTTGGGGCTTTGCCCGTAACGTGCAAACTTTTATGAAAAAGAAAAGAAAACGTGAGAGTTTTTCCCTAATCAGTGTGATCTTTCTCTCAGGTCCTCAGGATGGCTGCTACCTCCCAGTTTGCCAGTCGATACAAGAGGGATTTGAGCACGGAAGCCCTGAGAGCCAAAGTTGCCCGCAGGAGATCGACCCTTCAGAAGGAGAACAGGCACAAGCAGTTTGAGAAGGGCCGGCAGTTCGGGCTGGCAGATCTCAATGTTCAGCCCTCCAAAGAGAAGGGAGTTGCTGAACTCAAGGAAACAAGGGAAACATGCTCCCAAGAGAGCAGCAGCGTAAAACAAAGTAAAGGCTCGTTATAGACCTTTGTTAAAAATGTCTTTAAGTCAATTTAATAACATTATCAAACAGACCTAGTTGCAGTCAACATTTTAATTTGAAGAAAAGGTTTAAGATTTAAAACCCCGTGACTACCAGTCCTTCTAACTGTTAAAATCAGGAAAATAAAATCTTGATACAGGTGTATCCTCTTCCCTGCTCTGGTGGTGCGAGTGAGGTTTGTTCTGATTTGGCTGGAGCAGCTAAAGGAAAAATGCATTTTGCTCTTACTACTCAGTGGGAAGTCTCTTAATGATTGCTTTGTCCTTCAAGATGTGAAAAGCTCCGACCTAAAATCTCATCTAACGTACAACTGGTGTCTGTCATGTCCTTGAAGCGTGCTTAGAAATGGGCAATTGTACGTTATAATTATATATACAATTAGTGATGGGTAAATGCATAGCATAATTTTTTTTATTTTAAAAATCTCTAGGTTTTGACAGCTCATCTTTCCCCTCAGAAAATGGGGCCTGCATATATACTGAATTTTGCCTCCCTGGCTCTCCTGAATGCTTGTGTTCTAAGAAATTAAGTTAATCTTTAAAAAAGTTAACAGATTTCTTTGGAAATATTTTTACCTTCGATATTTTGATAGCAGAAGATTATTGGGGGATAGTCCCTTATTGGTAGATAAGTGCAGTTTGTATTTAATAATATCAAGTATGAAATTTAATAAATTTATCTTTAATAAATTTCGACTTTAAGTGGATATCAATTTTTCAGGTAGGCGTAAAATTCAAGTTTGGCATCATCTTAAGATTTTACTATTTCATATCATTTCTGTTTCATTTATTGTCAGCCAGAGACAGACTTCAGTATCCGAAGCTGACTTAAAGTTCAAAAAATTCAGAGATTCCAGAGAGTTTTCTGCTCTTTGATTTAAGATGTTCCTCTTCCAGCTTGGAAAAATTTACCACAAGTCCCTGACTTGCTTATTGTTGGCTCAAAAATACCTTCCTGGTTTTAAGACACGTCTGTCTTCCCTCTTTGCTCCAGAGCAACCTGTAAGTGCAGCCACCAAGAGGATGAACGAGCGCAGGGAGATGCTCCAGCGCTACAAAGAACAGAAGGAGCTTCGGAAGCTGGTGGAGCAGAGGGAGAAAGCCAAGAAGGGGGTGTTCAAAGTTGGGTTGTACAAACCAGCTGCACCTGGATTTCTTGCACCTGCACCTGAGGATCCAGCGGTAGCAAAGCCAAAAGAGAAGGTAAGAAGAGTAATATTTAATGTCGGAGTTAATTGCATCTGTAAACTCTACCAGAATTTCTGTTTGTGTATAAAATCTATGTGCTATTCCAAATAAACAGTTTATTTTGAAAATGCTTCGCTGATATTTCCGTTACGAGAAGGAACAACGAAGGAGTCATTTGGCTCATTTTTTTGAAACAAAACTGGAAATACTACTAGTGATATGTGGATTTTTGTATTTATGACTCTGTTCAGTTCAAAAACTGGAATGATTCATCCACAAATGAAACAACTAATTTATTTTAGAACTAGTAACTTGCTCCTCTCTAGTCCACTTGACTTTGAAAATTTTTCAGGTTACATACTTGACCCATTTTGCATGGACGTGTTGTTTTTCCACATTTATGCCTCTTGCTCACTCTCACAGTGATGAGAGGGAAAAGGAGTATATTAACCCTTGTTTCCCTGGGGATGTTTCCAGGCAGCTCCTGCTTTCTCTGGAAGGATGACACGATCAAGGGCCAAGATCCAAGAAGGAAAATCTCTGATACCAACTCTGATACCAACAGCACCTAAGTCCTCTACGGTTTGATTTTTTTATATATGTATATATAAACCTCAGTGAATAACTTTAGAGAGAAGGATGCCATTTCAGACCACAACTCAGGGCTGTATCTTTACAAGTTCTGGATCAGTTTTTCAATCAAATTTTTCAAGATACTGTAGCCAGCAAGGGCTGCAAATGTGTAGAGGTGGTGGTGAGACTGAAGTTACAGACTTTGGTTTTGGCTTGGGGAACCCAGTGCAATCCCCCTTGAATGCACAAACTGTCACGAATGCAGATTGTAAGAATCAGTTAATTCTTCACACATGCCAGCACTAAAGTAATTTTTATTTTTACTGTGAAGCATGGCAGTCCCTTGTGCTATTAATTTTATAAAAAAAAAGTAGGTTCTGCCGAGGAATTTCACCAGCAGGAATCTGTAAAAGAAGCTGCATTTTGAATCTTGCCTTACAAAACTTCAGTGTATTTGAAGGAATTCCAGTCATAACTTTACAAAGGGACAACTGAGTTAATATTGATTTATTTTTTTTTAAATTGATTTTTGAAACACAATGTGTACTGAGATGTGGCAGTAATTGGCACCTCATCTCATCATAAATATTTTAAATATTTTTCTTCATTCTTTTTCTGACAATTTCTTAACTAGTTGGATAATGGATTTTAACACATGTCTAAACCAATCTGGTTTAGTTATCAATAGTGTCTCTTTGCCTTTTAAAGCCCTCTGTGCCAAATTATTTGACTTTCTGTTTTACTGTGAGCTAGAACGGAGACATGAGGAAGGAAATTGGGCTGCTGAATTTCTGGAAATCTGATATTTCATGAAGGAATGTTGGGGTTTTTTTTTCCTTGCAGGTCAGTGCCCACGGGCAGAGCGCGCGCCCCGCGCAAGCAGGACGTAAACAGATGGGTACAGCCAAAGGGGCTGAGAAAGAGAAAGGTATGGAAGAAGCATGATCCCTACATCTGAGCCTGTGAAAGGGTGCTGCTGGTTTGGTTTTGGGTGTAGGAAGTGAGGAGTTTTCGAGGATGGCCATTCTTACCAGCTGTGACAAGCTGGCAGATCATCCAGGGATCTCGTGTGCTTGTTGCCTCCATAGGCTGGGGGAAATGGAATGCAGGGTACTGGCATTCCTGGTTACTGATTATTCACCCCAGGAGAGGGAAAAGAAACAGGTCAGTGGGCAGGACTGCATGACTGCCAGCTGCCTTAGCTCCTGGAGCTGTGCAGAGCTTTCTGTTTGCCTCTGAGAGGAATATCACAGGTAGCAACTGCTGCTGTCACAGAAGAGCAAGAGACTTCATCTGGAAAGATGAAAAGTAGCTGACACAAGGAAAGCACTGACATAAGAATACCACCTTGATATTGTGGATAGCCTGAAAAATAGCTGTTTGTATGAGCTGTAAATATTTTCACTAAGATCTGTCTTCTGTCTGTACTGAAGACAGATGCATCTGTACAGTGATGTCAGATCTCTCAGAGAAAATACTTGTGTAATTCAGCGTTGGAAAAGGTTTGGAAAAGGAAAAGGTTTGGAAAAGGACAGCCTGCTGGTAAAGCACATCAGCATAAGATGATGGAGCCTGGAGCCCAAACTGCTCGTGCACACCAGGGCTGAGTGAATGTGATTGTCTTCTTCAAAAAATGACAAGTACAATCTTACATTTTCGTATTTTGAAACAGTCCTTTCTGTATCTGTCACTTTCTGTGTGACAATTAAATATATTTCTTAAGGAAAGAACAGCTAAAAAAATCCATGCCACCTTTAGGGGAGTAGCTTTGATTAGAAATTCTTCCTCACAGCCCAGTGATGTCTGTGCCTTAAGTAGATACAGCCAAGTCATGTGGAATATTGATGTTAATGCAAGACATTCACTAATTCAGAGTGAAATGACTTTCACATCATTGATCTAATTAAGTCAGCAAGCAGCAGACCTTTATTTAAATAAATTTCAGTAGTGCCTTCAGTGAACACTGAAAAGATCTATTATCACTGTTTGTTATAACAATTAAAATGTTTAAATTTGGAAAAATTGTCATCCACTAGAATTGATTATTCCTTTTGTGCTGAATTGAGGATATGCAATATATGTATTTAATGAGATGATCTTTAATGTCTCTTCCAACTCAAACCATTCTGTGATTCTATGAAACACCAGTATAAAAACGTTTGTGAAGTGAATGTTTGATAAATCAAATATTATAATTACTTATCTGGTAATTTTTTTCCCCAACTTGTCATTTTAGCTTCTGCAGAATGGCAGCTGGACATTAAAGACATGAATAACAGTAACCAAGTGGGGCTACTGGATTTCAGGCAGATGCAGGAAGGCAGAGTATGGAATAAAGAGCCCCCATGAAATTTTTCTGTGCAGGAAAATGCTGTCATTTTTATAGGCTATTAAAAACAGTACTAAAATACAAAGATGAAAATTATTAAGATGGGTAATATGGTGCATGAACTTCTCATATTTTATAAAGTATTTCAGAGGCAATTAGTCTTAAGAATGCTTTGTTAGCTTACATTAAATTCTGACTTTGGAAATGTGTCGTATAATAGCCAGGGCATCACTTTGTTACACTGATGGTTTGCTTAAGCTTCCAGCTGTGCAAATAACCATGGCAAAGTTATTGTTCTAGACAGCTTCATCTGTACAACAGGGATGGCATTGACTCTGATTGCAGGGAACGTGGAGAAGGACAAAAACCCCCAGCCCTGCTCGTTCTGGCAAACCAGTGCAACTGATAATTGCTTGTGCACTTTTCTGATTTCTTCAAAATTTGAACTTTCAGTTATTACTTGAGTGCAGCTTCCTGAAATCTCTGGAATTATTGTCTCTTGCAGTGTTGCAGACTGCAGCCCAGCCAGCCTCAAATGTGAGGATCACCAGAGCAGCTGCCTCTGCAGCCAGGCAGGTGCTGAAACCAACAGCTACTGCTGCTGCTGCAGGTAAGTGAGGCAGTGAGTTGTGTGGCTCAACTGTACTTAGGCTGGGCCTAAATCATGCCAAATTGTCATGTAAGAGAAGGACTGAACAGTCTATCACTTACACTGTCATCTGGAACTCTCTTCCAATATTTCAACCAAGATGTTGAAACCAGCATTGGACAGTTTCCCATAAAATCCATCCATCAGTGTCCACATGGTAATTACAGACCCACAGAACAAAGCCAGAACTGGTCAAGATTTGCCACTTTGGTGTATTGCTGTTTATGGACATATGATTATCAAATGTGGGATCAGGAACAGATACCTCTGGGTGAGATGAGAGCCTTTGTTCCTCAGGTCAGGAATTGCTCTTTGTCCATGTTTACCTGTTTACTAGAATTTAATTCACCGACAGAAATCCACATAGAATTTAAAAATCTGAACTTGAATTGACCTGACATTCTCTCTTCAGCCTTTAAGGAAATAAAGTGACTTTTATATTTAGTATATGACAACATCTAAAGACTAATGACTTAATAAATCTGTTTGCCTTTCTTGATGATGCATCTCTTACTATACTTTTAAATCCTAGGCCAGATTTTCTTTTGAATGAACTTTTGCAATGTTCTTTCTTCCCTCCAGCCACCTCCCACTTAAGAAGAAAAGCAATCTCTCCCTGTCTTTAGCAATTGGATTTTAATGGCAGTCTTTTGGTGGAAGATTTACCTTAATCAGGTGCCTTTTTGACCTCTGGGAGTTTCTCTTGTTCTAGGTAACCAGTCACAGAGAAAGACAACAAATGTAGGGAAGCAGAAGCAAGCTGTCAGACCTGATACCACGAAGGTAGGTTGTTTAATATCTGAAATGGAAAAGCAGTAAAACTGATTTAAGAGCCAATAACAGTCAGTGTCACTGTAGCTGAAATAAATATTCAATCATAGATGTAATAAATTCACTAATAAGCTAGATTTTGGGAAGAAGCTGTATGTATTTATACTGCCATATTTTGAAAATTAAGCTCAAATTTAGTGCTTATATAGAATTATAGAATACCATGAGTTGGGAGGGACACACAGGGATCATCAGAGTCCATCTCCTGGCCCTGCACAGCACAATACAAGAATCCCACCATGTACATGGATGTGATTGATGAATGACTTGACTACTAATCAAGATCTGGACAATGATTTAAAATAGACAAGAAGTTCTTACATGGCATATCTCACATTCGATGTTTTAACTAGTAAAAAAAAAAAAAAGACTCTCTTGCTGATTTAATCAAGCAGTTGTGAATTTTGTGCAGTTGATTCCTTTTTGAAGCATGCCTTGAATCTTTTCCATCTTGGGTAACAATCTGAGACTCTAGAAGCTAAGAAATAAACACATTTTTAGGTTTTGAACCACCAAAAAATAAAGCTGAAAATGCTATTCTCTGCCAGGAAGACAAGATTTATAACTCAAGGTAGTCATTGTGGTTCCTGGTGTCATCACTATGACAATGTTTCTGCCTCTATCAGTGATTTTTCTCCTTTGCACTCCACTGTTCCCTCTCACACATCCCATCTCTGTTCCTGTTTCCATAACTGCACCTGTGTGTGCTCTAGTGTTCTCTTGAAATTGTGCAATCACACACAAACAGGAGGTAAGAGCACTTATCTCTTCCTTAGACAAGTACCTCTTCCCAGGCAGGAGTCCCTGCCAGTTGGTAAACTGTTGCTGTAACCACGAAGTCATCGCTTTTGAAAAAGTGTGTTCAAAGTAGAATTCAAGGTTTAAATTCCTACCAGGGGGTCACCGAAGTAAAACAAGACTTTCAATGGATTGAAGATGCCTATTTTCTTCAAAAACAGTCGAAGTTCTTTTGGCTGGTTGGGGCTACCAGTCTCTCAGTTGGGTATCTCAGAAGTGTGTTCTGTGTGACTGTCTGTCCACACATCTCATAAGAATGTGGATTCAACTTACTGTTTAATTTTTTTCTCCTCTAATGACATTCTGTGGTCCCAACTGCACTTGTCTTGGGCTGCATTCCTCAGCTATCAGCCTATTTCACCTTGTTTTTCAGCCTTTGGATTGCAGTATGTGGGTAAAGTGTGATTATTCAACAGGCTAGTTGTATTTGGAGCCAGTAATTCTCCTCTTGAGGAGTTTATCACCTTAAAGCATTTTTTCTAGCAGTGGGAGCAAGCATTTGCTAATTGTAATTATTGTTTTGGTAGGTGAGGTTGTTCTGCTTTAGCCCCTTGAGTGGATTGTTGCATTCCTTGTAGAGAAGTGCTACTCCTGCCTCTAGAATGATTTGCAGGTGTCAAAAATGTTGGTAAATCTTCACTTCTGTAGAGGTGTGCTGTTGTAGAAGGTGACCTACCTGAAACTGTTCCCTTCCTGATGGGTTTCAGACAGTCATGTTATAATTCATGTTATAATTTCCTATAGCAAACGATTGATGTGATAATTTAATATGTCTATTTAATCTGTTACAGGTAATTCCTTCTAAACATGAAGTGGAGAAAAATGCTCAGGTGGATCCAGGGGTGAAAGGTCCTGCAGCTGATTCCAAACATTCAACACCAGTAGAACTGGAGCAAGAACAAACCTCAGTGGAAAACAACAATTCTGCTCCAGGGAGACCCAAAACGTGCTCTTTTGCACCCGGGAACTTTGTGTTTCAGCCACCGAGCGAATTAGCGAACTACAAAGTTAAACCCATGACTCCTTCAAGTGCAAAGGCTTTTTTGACACCCACTGCTTTCTGGAGTTTCTCAAAATCTCCAGTGTAAGATTTTTTTTCTTCCTAAGGGGCCTAAAATGCAAGTGAACCTCTCTGTGTTTTGACACAAGAAAAGATTTGTGTGAGAGTCACTGTGGAACAAGCTGTTGTGGGGTTTAGCACCTGATCATCGTGGTTGGTCTCACTGATTAAATGTGGACTTAGTACAGCAGCAAATATGGATATAATCCTTAATTCTGTCCATACTGTAGAAGCAGCTATCAAGGACTCTGCCCTATATCCCTCTGCACAGATTTATTAATTTTAATAAGATTTGCTGGAGTTCTCTAGTGTTGGGTGGAGGATTGCCTTCTAAACTGCATTTCAGTGGATTTGGCCATATTTGATACGAGCTTCTCAAGGTGTCTTAGCTCTAAATGTACTTTTGTTCCTTTGCAGCAAAAAAAATGAAAAATCCAGTGAAACTAAAGCACAAAAGCCTAATTTAAGAAGTCGAATTCTACCTTCTTTTAGAGGCATTCAAGAACAGCAAATGGCCACAAGTTCGGAAGGAGAAGAAGGTAGGGAAGCTCACGCTTAGTTTTTTGTTCCAATGTTTTTAATTATCACTGGATTCTGAATAAATTCCTTCCTTATTTTTCAGCAGGTGAATCAGATGAGAAAACTTCCACTCAGAGATCAAAGGAAACAACTCCTGTCTCAGCAGCACTTGAAGGGAAGTCAGATGATACAGGAGAGCAAGAGCACGATGTGCCCTATTTCAGGTTTGGGTTCACTTGTTTCACTTCCCTGATGTCCATTTGAAGGTCCTTAACACGAGTGAGGAGACAGCTTGTAAAAGATCAGCTTAATTTAGTGGTGATGGGTGTCTGTCAGCAGTGACCTGAGCAGGCACACATTCCTGTCTTCCCTTTTGTACTGTTAGTGCAAGGGAAGAATAGAAAATTCTGGAGACTTAACACCTTGTCCAAAGGAACACGAGCTTGAAAGCAGTAAAAAAGAAATTACCTCTGAGCCAGTCAGCAAAATAAAGCAATCTAATGACTTCTGCTCAAAGACTGTGGCTTCTCTGAAAGCAAAAGGATAGTCACCATTAACAGCCACAAGTCAGGAAGTTCTCCAAGACGTTGTTTTTTCTGTATCCCTTTATTTTCAGAAACATTCTTCGGACTCAGACAGAGAGGCTGCTCTCTCAGTGCCTCCAGTGGGATGGAAACCTCGAGCTGGACATTCCAGAGGATGGTAAGAGGGGGCTGCAATAGGCCCTAAAAGAGGTGTTGTGGGAACTGAAGGGGACAGAGGGAAGTACATGTGTCTGTTACTTGATAAATAGCACTGTCTGCAGCACTTAATAAAAGCTGTATTGGATAAAGTTTAGAGCTGTGTCTGCCTCGAGACAAAAAGTCATGGTCTGCTACTGCTAAAATTTGTGTAGCACTTGATGTGATGGTGACTGATGACGTGAACAAAGTGCATATCAAAACAGTTGTTCTGTTGTCAGTTTGGAGTGTATTTAAGTGCATGAACTCTAACCAAGCTGTTTTATTTTTTTTTTAAATAAGATTAGTTTTTAACGCAGAATAAGTGCCCTTATCTGGGAAAATGAAGGTGACTCGTTATTGCTTAGAGATTTTTTTGAAAGAAGCAAGTTTAGACCAGGTCAGTGGGTAGGGGTGCTCCATCTGAATTATATTGCAGGTTTGCAATAGAGGAACACAGTTCAAACAACAAACAAATTCCAGACTCTTCAAATATTCGGTTTAAATCAATTGTGAAATGAGGGATTATTCCAAGATGCTCTTTTTTTTTTTTTTTCCTGTTGCTAAAGCTAAAGACCTGATTCACACCACAATTGGTCAGACAAGACTGCTGATAGAAGAAAGGTTCAAACAGTTTGAAGGGCTGGTTGATAATTGTGAATTTAAACAAGGTGAAAAAGAAACAAAGTGTACAGACCTGGATGGATTTTGGGATATGATTAATTTTCAGGTATGTACTTGCATGTTGACCCACTAGAATAAAACTGATGGGGTTATTTACAAACCATGGATTGAAACTATTTTAATAGTTTGTTTTTTATTAGATAATAGATTTTTTTTTTATTTTTTAATGTAAAAAATGCAGATCCTTGTTTAACACTTTCTGACAATGAATAATAGCAGTTGGTCTACTCTGATTTATGATTCATGGACCAGTTCTTTTGTTGTGTCTTCTTGTGGCCTGTGTATCTTGTCTGTCTCTGGAATGAAGGTGTGTAGCCAAATTTTATTCTGGTTTGGAATGAGGCTACAGCCAATGTCTATCGGGACCAAAAGCTGGGAGATTTTGGAAAATTCCTGGAGCTCACCTGAAAAGTAGGGGTTCCATGCTTCAGTATGAGAATAATGCAGAAACTACAAGGACCCTATTTAGGGGTGAGCTTAGGTGGTAGAAAACCTTCATCTCTTTTCCTCTGTTGATGCCTTCGTTGGTTTCAGAATGAAATATAATATTCTAAATTATCAAAAGGGCTCTCAACAGTATTTGTAAATCAGCATTCAACAAAGGAATTTCTAATTAAATGCAAAGATGGATTTGTTATGGTCCTGGTCATAGCTTTTGAATTCCCTGCGGAAAGATTTGATCTTCTTCTTCAGAGATATGTGAGATATTGTTTCCTGCAGAATGGAAACTGTGCTTGTTGGGACAAAGACTATTGTGCAATGTGTTCTTTTGCTTTCTTTAAATGTGACCATTGTCAAGGGGCTTGGGTTCAGGGTGAAACCAGGGTGTAAACCAGAACCAGCTCCTTCATTTTAGATCTTAAACCAAACAATTCTAGACTTCCCCTACGAACCTTCAAGCTACAGAAATGAGACCAGGCTTGCCTTCCAAACTGAAGGTTGTGTGGGTGGTGTGACCTTCATGTCAGCTGTAGGAGAACAGTTAATACTTCCTATCAGTTGGTGGCTTAATTGACTTCTGTGTTTAAATCAAAAGTACTTGAATGCATTAACTGTGCTCGAAACTCTGATCTGATTTTATGAAGCACTGTTCTGCTGCAAGCCTGGTAAGTCTTGAACATGAAACCTGGACTTTTTCTGGGCTTTCCAATAGATTGAAGATGTGAATAAAAAATTTGATAATCTGAAGAAGCTTCAAGACAACGAGTGGCAGCCACTTGATGTCCCAAGCCAAGCAGTTGTCAAGGTATGAATAGCCCCTAAAGCACGTCTTGTAGGGCTTCTTTAGATGTTAAAGTTCAAATATTCAGTGAGATCCCTCTCAGGAGGCACCTTTCTCCCTTGCATCTCCCACATGCACTTGTGTCAGTTGGTGTTTGTAGTGCTAGTTTCCCCTTTTGGCTGGGAAGATTGGAACTAAGAATTAACAATGACTTTTTTTGAGTCATTAGATTCTATGCTACTAAGATAAACCTGGTAAATTTAGGATATAAACCTACCCTTACACTTTATCTGGGCCACTGGCATTGACACTGACTTAACTGAAAAGGAAACCACATGGAAATTTGGGAGTGACTGCAAGTTTTAAGCAGGGAATGCTAAATTATCATGGTGTCCCAGCCAGCCAACACCATGGGTGGCTTTAAACTGCTACTTCTCTAAGCACAAATGGATCTGACACAATCCAAAATAAGTTATTGCTTATTGCAAAATGAGTTGTTTTATCTGCTCTTTGGTTTGCAATATTTAATTGCTTCTGGCTGAAGCAAGTTACATTTGCATTGCCTAAACTCTGTCCAGTTCCTGGACATTGCTTAATTGATCATAAAAGTGATACAAAGGCTGATAAGAAACTCCAGGCATGGGAGACTGGAGGGATTGTGGTCTGTGGGAGCTGCCCTCAAATGCCAGAACCCTACAGGTGGTACAAAACAAAAATTCCCTTGAAAAACTGAATGCCAGGAAAGACTTCACTGCCTGCCTGGAATCTGTCCCGTGGCTGCATTATGTCCCTGCCACTAGGAGTCCCTGCATCCCAGTGTTTCCAATATCTTACTGGATTTGTTGGGAACAAAAGTCATATTGGGTGTTTCTGAACTGCAGACTCAGTTTGAAAAAAAATTCTCAATATTGTCATCACAGACTAACCTTAACAGCTGGTTGGCAGTCCAAGAGAGTCTGGAGATGAGCAGAGACCTCGATGCATAGAATTGTTGAGGTTGGAAAAGCCCTCTAAGACCATCAAGTCCAGCTGTTCCCCCAGCACTGCCAAGGCCACCACTGACCCCAAGCGCCACATCCACACGGCTTTTAAATCCCTGCAGGGATGGGGACTCCACCCCTGCCTGGGCAGCTGTGCCAGGGCTGGACAACCCTTTCAGTGAAGAAATTTTTCCCAATATCCAATCTAAACCTCCCCTGGTGCAAATTAAGCCCAGTTCCTCTCATCCTGTCACTTGTTACGTGGGTGAAGAAACCAACCCCCTGCCCGGCTCCACCCTCCTGTCGGGGAGTTGTGGAGAGCAAAAGGCCCCCCCTGAGCCTCCTTTTTCCAGGTGCTCTCTGTGGGACCAGCAGCTCTGCAGGTGTTCATGTGTAATTGCTTCTATCCAAAGCTTCCAGGTGTGACCTGGCCTTTCTTACCCTTCCAGAAAAAGGCTGTTCCAGGTGGAGTGCCTAAAGCAAAGCTGGAAGCAGCTGCAAGAGCTGCTGCCCGGAGCCGCCTGGCTTCTGTAAAGGCAGCCATGAGGGAGAAAATGAAGTGTGAGGGAGCTGCTGATGGTGCACATCAGGAGACACTGCCCCAAGCAGAAAAAGTGGTTTTTGAAGCGGGATTTTTCAGAGTTGAAAGCCCTGTGAAAAACTTTTCAGGTGGGTGAAACTTAATCGTGATTTCTGTGACCTGAAAGTGCTGAAGAGGGTTTAATGCATTTCACTGGGGAGAGGAATTGGGCTGTTTATGCTGGATACAAGTCCAGGGTGGACAGAGGATTTCCAGTGCTGGATACAGTATTTCAACCAGTGACTAATTACATCAGGGCCCCAAAGTAAATTGTTGTACATGAATGTGCTGATTTGAGTGATTATGGCAGCATGAAATCCCTGCTTAGACAGAGGGGTGAAATAGCTGGTTCATTTTTTTTCCAGCATAAGTTTAATAATGAAATTCTAATCTCAGTGTTGCCAGGTTCAGCTGACAAACCTCCTCATCAAAGTCAGTGCCAGCTGATGTCCTCTAATTGTAAGACAGGAATTGGGATCTTTTATGTTTAACTAAACCTCTTGCAGTGCTGTCTTCAGAGCTGCAAATAAAGTCTTCCCATAATCTTTGTTCATGGTTAACAAGATTGTAACATAATCCAGTTTGCTATAAAAGCTGTTTAATAGTTGGGGGGGTTTAACAGGTGCTCAAAATAAAACTTCATTTTAAGTATCTTATTGACATCTATGTGCAGCCAGGCTCCTTGGGAGCCATTCTGCTTCTCTCCCATTTCTAGTTCATAATTTGACTTTAAATTCCCCCTTTATTTATTTTGTGCAGATCCCCCTTCTCATCAGACAACTAACAATTTTTTTTTTTTTGTGTACCTCTTGTCAGTAGAGAACTCCTGAAATCTTTGAGCAACACTGGGTTTAAGCAAACTCCAGCAGAGAATCTGTTATAAACATCAGTTCTGAATCTTTGCCTTTCTAATTCTATTAAAATTATCAAATTTGAAAGGTGGAAGTTAATAATTTCCATTTCTCCTTGCAGGGTATAGAAGATTTCAATATAATATTTGCATAAGACAATTCAGCAAGCAGAAAACAATCGTGTTTCTGTCTAGAATCATAATGATCAGTTCCTTTCAGCTTCGGGAAACTGCTGTAGTAATGAAAAATTAAACACATTTTTCAGGCTTGCTTTCAAAGACCCCTCACAGATCTTCCCAGAGGACTCCTGGAAAACAAACAACTCCAAGATCATCCCGTAGAACTTTGCTTCCAAACACTCCTTCTGCTGCTCTCCGTGACCCTGAGGATGCAACTGCAAAACAAACACCAGAAAATCTGAAAATGGACCAATTTCCCACTGCAAAAACTCCCCCATTGGATAAACTCCCCGACGGTGTTGTTGAACAAAGGTAGGCATGTTAAGGCAGCTTTTAATTAACCTTGTACAAATAATTGTGTAGTTTTGACTGAAAGACACGATATTAATACCCTTTAAATGTTACTCCAATTTGGCAGTGATGAAGGTTGCAAAGTCCTTGTGACTTTTTCCTTCCCCTAAGCAAATATTAAGAGCTTTGCCCAAATGTAATTTTGCTGCTGGGGTAGAAGTTAATTGTTTGCCCAGAAAGTTTGATATAACTCACCAGTGCCAGCCATGCCAGCAGAATTGCAGAACAAATCATAAGGTGGGCAAGTCTAAAGATGATTGAAGGTGATTGATGAAGATGATTGAGAAGAATGAAAATATTTTGGTTTCTCTTCCAGCATTTCCATGGTTGCAGAAGAAGAAGTCTGTCCTGTTGCCAGCAGAGCAGAGGGAAGTGAGGTAAGTCATGCATAGCTCATGTACGTGCTTTAAATACTCTATTATTATCAGCAAAGAAAAAAAGGTCTGTTGATTATCCCCAGACACTTGGATTTCTGATCAAATCCTCACTTAGATATCCTCTGTATTGCTTTGTCCCTCTCAGTATGGACACAGGTAGGGACTGCTGCAGTTTGGGGACCTGCAGTTTGGAGCTGTATTTTGGGAGGTCCTGGCTGCTGCATGAGGACACTTGGCACTGGGCAAGCAACGTGAAGTCCACTGCCTCTGTTCTGGTGTGAATTTTGTAAATGCTTTTGCATTTGGGGACCATGACTAAACACAGCAGCACTCTTGGTCCTCGTGCTGCCACAGCCCAGCACTGGGCTGTTATTCTCTTTAAATTATAGTAAGAACTGTGTTACTGATCCAAGGATCAGAAATCCGTGTCCTGAAATGTCTTGAGGACTTGGTGACATCACCTCTGCTTTAATAGACTTAAAAAAATTTTAAAAAAACAGGAATGCAACCTCCATAGTTTATGTGATACTGTGCCACTCAGTGAAAGCCAGTGCTTTGGAGTTAATCATCCTTTAGTACCTTTCATTGGAAATGGAGTATCTTATTTTTATTTGGTCCTGCTTGGATCTGTGCATGACTGCAGTCATTGCCCCTCCCATCCCCATATATATAATACCTATATATAAAAATCTTGGTCATTGATTTTTTTCTTGTGCCTTTTACTTCATCTTTTCTCTGTCAAATGAGAAGCTGCTTGTTGGTGTTGTCACTCTCTGGGGAGTCATCATTGCTGATAGGTTTTCCTCGAGGAAAAGTCTCACCAGGGAACATCCTCACAATGTTTTTGGCACTCGAAGTTCAGAATCTTCTTTCCTGTGGAAGAGCTTCCTTATACTTTTGAAGGGATTTTTCAGGCTTGGGAAACAGTTCATGTGAAATGGGTCACAGCCTGTGCTTTGTACAGTCCCTGGAGTTAAAACTCTGTTTCTTCTGAATTGTCCATAAAACCTGTAGATTAGATGTGTGGATTTGTTCTGGCATAACAATGACGTGGCTGGGGACAGTGAAAATCCCTGTTTTTCAGGTGCTGGAAAATTCTAGCAGTGAATCCAAAGCAATGGATGGCATGGAAGAGATGGAACTCTCTGCTGCAGAGCAAGGACAAGACGTTGCCATGTGCAGCCCGGAGAAAGATCCCGGCACAGAGACAAACTTTGCTCAGTCTGGAGAACCAAAAATCCATCAAACAGGTGCATTTCTTAGAGCTGCAGAGTGTGGTTTGGGTGGGATTGCTGAGGCCTTATGGTTATTCTAAGGTTTTATGATCATCTAAATATTATCTTTGAAATCACTGTCAGTGTCAGCTTGTTTTATGTGTGCTGTTAGCAAAACCTCCCGTGGTTTCTTTCAAGATGCAGAAAGCAATACTTTTTTTTTTTTTTCCAGCTCTGGCAGCGTCAGACTATCTTCTTTTAAAAAATGAAACATTCTTATTTTTCAGATGTTTCCTGTAGTGATTTGACATCCAGTGACAGGAATCCTTTAGATATGGTAAGTTGACCTTCAAGTTTATTTGACTAAGACAAGCTGCATGTTCCGGTGCTGTTTAACCTTTGCTACAGATTCGGTTACTGCACAAAGAAAATTAAACTCCTAAAGATATTATCAAAGCAATTCATATAACTGGGAACACAAACCACAATCCAGCTGTCTCCCTGCTCACACTGATATATTCCTTATTGCACATGATGAGTGTAGGATGAATCAAGACATTTATAACAGAATAACTTCCGATTCTTATCAGATTGATCCTTTAAATTATGTTTCTTCCAAATTTCCTTGTAGATATTCATTAACATCATGAACAGACTGGTTTTCCTCCACTTTCTTCCTGGATTTTTTCAAGTCTGTCCCAACTTTTTTTTTTTTCTTTAATCACTTTAACATTTAGGGCTGGAAGTGAGATTCAACAGGGAGAAGTGTGCAAAGACTTTCAAAATGTTAATAGAATTTGGATGTAGAATTTCTTGTGAAAAATCCTCTTTAAAATACTGCTTAGTGATTTAAATAAGGAGTGTCTTCAACACAGACCACATGTACTCATTTCTTATGTTATGTCTTGAAATAAGCTTGTAAAATTCCTCATAGCAAAGTCATGGTACTTCCAGTGGTCCAGGATTCTGATTAAGTGTTCCTCAAGCAGTGACTCCACACTCTGATTCCTCCCACAGCCAATGCTGGATACTGAGCTTCCCTTCACTCCAGTGAAGACCAAAGCCCAGAAGTTTGCAGCAGCTGAAGTGTTCAGTGACCTCATTGTGTTTTCTCCTGTTGTCCCCTCTGGGGATAAATGAAGAGTGGCTTAAAATGCAAAATACGTACATTTTATGAGGGAGAAACCCACGGAGGGTATCTGGAACACAGATTGCTACCCTGGAACTGTGTTGGGAGTGAAGGGATACCTGTAGTCATGGATCTGATAACGGGTTTTGCAAGGTTTTATGGTGCAGTTGTTGTACACCAAGCACTGCTGTATGTCGGTAGTGGGCTGTGTTCTGGTGATACTGCTGTATCCAGTGCTTGTAAATTCTGCCTGCAACCCGAAATACTTTTATGTTGGTATCATTTCATGTATTTCCTGTCTCCTTCAGGCTGTAAAACTCCTCACCTCTAAACTTTTATGTCCTGGCTTTACCTCATGATTTGTTGTTATTACAAGGTGTCCACTAGACTGGCTGTGCCTGTGCCCTGTTCCTGATGGGAGGGCACCTTCTGGGGTAAGACCCAGCCTGTTCCCTCCCCAGAGCACTCCTCCATGCTCTGTCCATGCTCTGAGGGTTCTGTTGCACCCTTAGGCTCCAGAGTTTGGTGTGTGAACAGCTGCCTCAGCACCAGCTGTGGCACTGTTGGATTCATGTAATTCTTTCCTGGGGGAAATTTTCCTACTGGCTTTGTAATATTAGAAACTGTCTCAGAACAAGGATTTCATAGTCAGATAATACCTTTTCTTGGCAATGTATTAAAGTGGACATTGTTTATTATTTCCTTTAAGGACACAGTTTTCTATTGAGTATCTTAAGTACCTTCAAGCCAAACTGTATTTTCTCCTTGTTTTTGACATGTTTAAACTCAGCCTCTTCTCTCATCTTGTTCCTTGTGCATTCCCTACCCAGACTGTAACATATTTGTGCATAAGGAGTGTGTCAGTTATACAGACTTTGCATTTTTGGGGGTAGTATTAAAATACCACCAGCTGTTGTATTTTTAACAAATACCTCACTGGTCTTCTTCTTGTACAGGTGACCTTAGTGTAACACACACGCTCTTCCACCCAGCCTTGATTCCAAACCAAGCAGAAATAATTCAACCCCTCACCAGAAAGGGGTTAGTCTGGTTAAAGTTTTAACTTGGCAGCTGTGTACTGATTACACTGAAATAAAGAGAGGAAGCTGATGTGTGCTGGAATCCACTTTTTTGAGTACTAAACTTCAGTTATACAGATAGTTTCAGGTAGCTCTTAATGACTTGCCTGCTCTGGTCATTCATCAGCACAGTGAGAGGGATTCCTGACATGTGGAATCACAGAATGGTTTGGGTTGGAAGGGACCTTAAAGATCATCTCATTCCAACCCCCTGCCACCTTCCACTCAACCAGGTTGCTTCAACCTTGCCTTGACCACTTCCAGGGATGGGGCAGCCACAGCTTCTCTGTGCTGATGGTAGCAGACTGCTGCTCTAGGCTGCTGGATCTGCTGGAAATTTTAAGGACTCTCCTTGTAACTTGGCATCCCCAAGGATTAAAGAAGCAACTGTTATAAAACAGTATGAGACACATCGAAGAGATCTTTGGAAATTTCAGTAGTGGCCATTGAGCTGCTCTTGTTTTCCAGACAAGGCTGGAATGACTCACAGCAGAGGGAACGTACTTCTGTTTTCTTTTTTTACCAGCCTGACTCACGAGGTGAACTTTGCCAATAAACCTCCCCACCCTTGAAACCGGTCTGGACTCTTCCAGGAGTGAGGAGTGGAGAGGAGCACAGGGCTCGTGACCTGCTCCGTGGAGTACGTAACACTTGTAGGAATTGGATCTCCCTTGGGAGGGAGGAGTAATCGGGAACACCCTGGTTTGGGCCACCAACTGTGCAGATGGGCCTTTGGAGCAGAGAGGGGGGACTTTTCCAGCCACAGTCTAATGGAGAGATTTTCCTTCCTCCACCTCTGAACCCCCTCCTGAAATACCTCGTTCTGGTCAGGCTCAGAGGCTCTCGAGTTATCCCTGTTTTCCAGTGCTTCCTAGAGGATTGCTGCCCTAGTTCACAGGACAGAATGCCACAGGCTGCTTTCCCAAGTGCTCCTGCCTGTAGAAATCAGACTGCTCCTTGTTGTTCCTCTGTCTCTACAGCAGGAATTCAGCTCCTTCCCCAGCTGAACTCAGCTGGCCCGGAGGGTGTCGCGTCTTTGGAGATCTCACTGAAAACAAACTTCACCTGTGAAAATGTTTTATTACTTCAAAGTAGTCACGTGAGAAGGCACTTTTGTTACACCACAAAAGGAGCACCAAGTGGGCATGGAGTGCTCCCCTGGCTAAATCATGGTGGGCACGACGCTGGTGAGGGTGATGTCCCCCGCGATGCAGAGCTTGGTGACCTCGTTCAGCCTCTTCTCGCGGAAGTTGTACTGCAGCAAGTGAGCGTCGTTGACGGCCACCTTGAAGTGATCCGCCTCGCAGAGGATTTGGAGCTGAAATAAAAAAAAAATCCAAATCAGCCGAAAAAAACCCCACATTGGATTTGTTCCAGGAGAGGTTTTAAGCCACAAACTCGAGCAGGCTGGCACTGGCTGGAGGCTGCTGCCAGCCGAGTCCAGCCCCGTGGCATGTGGAGGAGCTGGTGCGGCAACTCTCAGCTGCAACACCAGTGACCTTTGCCTTCCCCAAAACTCTGATGGGCTCTTCCTCCTACGTGTTTTAGCCCACTTTCTTCCTCCTCCTGACCATGCCAGTCACTCGAAGCAGAACTCAGAGTAAACCTACTCTGCAGGAGGAAAAACTCAGGAATGCCAATGGGGAAAACGCGTTATAGAAACCTGTCCAACAACTGCTGCAGGACAACTGCACATGAGGAGGATTTCATAATCCATGGGAATAACAGAAGTGGGGAAGTGCAGAAGGGAATCAGAGTGCTGGGAAGGTGCTGTAGGACCTGCTGTGCTGGACAGCCAGGGAAGCACATGGGGTGGCTGCCCCAGAGGCACCTCTGGGAGCTGATTCCTGCGCGAAAGTATCAAGGTCCTTGCGGGGATCTTGTTGCCCAAACCCTCCCGGAGCTACTGGCACACTGAGACTGAGCTGGGAAGGGGTTTTTTGGTACCTTGAAGGGTTTTCCAGCTTCAAATGGAAACCTGGGAGCTGTCCTCTCCTCCTTCCCCCAGTTTTCATGGAACTTCGAATTGCAGACGATGACTTTCTTGTGGTCTTCGTTGAAGCGGGGGTTGAAGTGGAAGGCAACGTCATTCCCTCTCTTGAAATCCAGTGAAAACCTGCCAAGACCATAATGGATTCACTGCTTTTTCCACAAAAGCCCTCGGTTCTGTTAAAGGGTTTCCCAAAAATAGCAGAAAGGAAACCCCACACACCCTGTTGGGCATCAACAGGGCATTTACACACCTTATTTAGTGTAATATTTGATGGTACACTAGAGAGGTGTTGTTCAGGAATGGAAAGCAACTTCCAGCCCCCCATGCTCCACCCAGCAGTGCTCCATGGAAAGCCCTCCACCCCCAGTGCTGGACACCCCCAGTACCTGTTTGGATGGGGATTCACAGTCCCAGTGATGGTGATGAGCATCCGAGGGACGAGTCCTGCCTGCAGGGGCAGCTCGAAGGGGACTCTCTGGGAGACAACAGGGATTTTGTGTTAGCAAAAAAACATGTCAAAAGCCAAATCCCACCCCTGCCATCCCCCAGGGACAGCCAACCCCAGGTCCTTCCCACAGCCAAGCAAAATCAGGCACCGAAGACAGAAACCCTTATAATATGATGGAGCTGTTACCATTGGAGGAGCTGGTCCTCCCTGCGGAGCAGGAGGCCCAAATCCAGGGGCACTGGGTGGTTGTCCCGGGGCAGGAACCGGCCCAGGTGCTGCTGGTCCTCCAGGGAATGCTCCAGGTGCTCCCGGTGCTCCTGGATACGATCCGTGTCCTGCTGGTCCTCCAGGATACGCTCCCGGTGCTCCAGGATACTCTCCCGGTGCTCCAGGATATGCTCCCGGTGCTCCGGGATATGCTCCTGGTGCTCCTGGATATGCTCCCGGTGCTCCAGGATAGGCCCCCGGTGCTCCAGGGTAGGCCCCCGGTGCTCCAGGGTAGGCCCCTGGTGCTCCGGGATACGCCGGGAATGCCCCAGGAGCCGGTGGCTGGTTCCCCCAGGCCGGCCAGCCCTGGGGTGGGTTGGCACAGGGGGCTGGGTTGTTGCTGTTGGACAAGGCATCAGATAACTGGGGACAGAGGGAGAAGAGCAGGGTTAGGTGGGGAAGAGTCATCCTGGGATCAGGTTGAGTTCTCCAACATCCACCCTTTTTAGCCTGCAGCGTGTCCCAGGGCAAGAGCTCAACTCTAAACTGCTCCCCAGGGGAGTGCCTGGGCTGGTGTTTCCAGAAGCCAGTAAGTGCTGATGTAACTCGAGTGGATTTTGGGATTTACATGTTCCCATCCTTTCCAGAGGTTCCCACTTCAAGCCAACATGCCAGGCCTCCCCCCACCTTCTTATTTTCAAGAAATCCATACTCACGGAGAAACCGTCCGACATTTTTCCTAAAACGAAAGGACAAAGGGGGTTTCAGTCACTTTTAACAAGCACCATCCAAAAAAGAGATTTTTGAAGAGACTTACAGTTTACAGTGGCAATTGTTGGAAATTGCTAAGTTCCCATCACGTACCTGCCTGTCAGAGCCGAGAGCTCCGGTGCCACAGGACAAATCCTGGTCGGATACCTGTGGGATAAATGGGGGTCACTGCCATGAGCAGCCTGAACACTCGGGGGTGAATCCAGCCCAAATGCTCTCAGGATAAAACCCACCACTGGGCTTACAACACTACCAGTGTTATTCACTTCCCCAGCCCTGAGGCACCACCTTCTGGGAAAAGATTCCCATAAAAAACAGAATCCCTGGGGGGGGCTGAAGCAGGGAACAGGAGCTGTGTGGGGGCTAAAAATCCAGCACAGCACATCAGGGACATGAAGCCACCCCACAACGTGCAGGGTGGAGGCCTGGAATGCTGAGAGGAGGGTAGCAGCCATGGATACAGGTCCCCCTTCTCCTCTGGTGTATCCACAATTTCTCCATACTGGCAGGAGGGCACCGGAGGAGGGACACACTGGCCACTCCAGGCCATGGGATAAAAGCTGCTTCACAAGTGTTATGAGTCCACACCACTGCAGGGCCAAACACACACCTGCCTGTGCACAGGAATAGCCTGAGTTGGGTTCCTCCCATCAAAGGGAGCATTCATAGGAGAAGAGGGGGAAAAAAAAAAAAAAAGGGAGAGGCAGAAACAGGGAGAGAAAAGGAAAATTCCAAACTGAAAACAGAGAAGGCAAATTCTCTTTGAGAGCAACATTCGGATGCACAAAGCTCACAGCAGATGTGGCTGCCTGGCCTCAGGAATAAAAAAACCCCAAGTTTCACAACCCACAAACAACCCCTTTGCCAGTAAAACAATCATTCTCCTGAGCTAAGGCAGCCTCTTCACCAGCATCCAGCAGCCCGGAGTGTTTGGACAGCCTGTATCTTCCAGGGGTTTTATTTGCCTTCTGGGTTCTTTTCAAGCCTTTGGCTTTGCCATTGGTTTGCCAGGTGGAGCTGGGGGTGCACACTGAGCTCCTGACAGCTTTCCTGGGATGGATCCAGATGGGTCAGGTTTGCTTGGTGCTGCTCTGATGGGAGTTCCCACATGATCCCCCTTTTCTCCTGCAACCCCTCAGGGAGAAGCAGTTTTGCTCCCTTCAGCCCTAGTGGGACAGGGTGGCAGGAGTGTCGTGTCTCCCTGGCCAGGTCTGGGATGGCCACTTTGGTATTTGTAACCAAAGTCTTCAAAACCCACTAATCCTCTGCCACCAAACGGTGCTGCCAGCTTGGAGCCTGGTGGTGACCCTCTTCCCTGTGCCACTGCAGTGCTGGAGCCCTTGGATACAGCTCTCTGGAAATGCTCCAGTGGGTTTTTTTCCTGCTGCCACAGGAAGGGGTTTTCTTCCACCTTCTTTGGCAGCACCTCAACGATGTATTCCATAGAATCACAGGATAAGTGAGGTTGGAAAAGCCCTCCAAGATCACCGAGTCCAAATGTTCCCCCAGCACTGCCAAGCCCACCACTGACCCACGTCCCCAAGTGCCACATCCACAGGGCTTTTAAATCCCTCCAGGGATGGGGACTCCACCACTGCCCTGGGCAGCCCCTTCCAGTGCTTGGTAACCCTTTTAGTGAAGAATTTTTTCCTAATATCCAATCCAAACCTTCTCTGACACAACTTGAGGCCGTTTCCTCTTGTCCTGTATCTTGTTCCCTGGGAGCAGAGTCCGACCCCCCCCCGGCTCCGCCCTCTTTTCAGGGAGATGTAGAGAGTGAGAAGGTCCTTCCTGAGCCTCCTTTTCTCCAGGCTGAACCCCCCCAGCTCCTCTTCCTCAGACTAGTGCCCTAATTTCCAACAGCATTTGGGCAGCCGAGTTTGAACTCACTGGATCTCTCCCCCACAGTTCTCTGAGCCCTCCCCGACCCGAGGGCGGATCGGCTGCAGGGAACATCCCAGAGCCAACGTCCATAAACACCCCGAGTATTCCCTGTATTCACACCAAGTGGGAAACCTTCCGTTTGGGAAAGAACCGCAGGTCTTCTCCCCGTCGGCGCTATTCCCGCAGCGCCTTTCCCGGGTGTGTCCGGGTGTCCGCAGCCTCCCGCGCACCGACACTCCCTCCCACCCCTCCGCGTGGCTTTTGGGGCACGGGCAGGGCCACCCCGCACCCCGCGAGTCGCAAACAGCCTCGTAGCTCCTTAATAGTCCCCACCCCACCATTATCCCGAGCATCCCCCAAAACCAGCAAGGGCTTTCTGTGCATCCCGGGCGGCCGCCCTGGGAGCGAACGCGCGTCCCACCTCCCACTCCCAGGCGGACGAGCGCACCCTCAACCCATCCTTTTCGAGGATATGTGTGCCTTATCCCCCCGGGACCCCCCCGGGATCCCCCCGGGATGCCCCCGGGGCCCATCCCCTCACCTGCGAGCGGCGGCTCCCGCGGCGTTTCTGGGCTCCCGCACCGGGACACGGCGGGATCCGCCCGCAGGGGCGGGGACGGGGCGGGCACCGGGAGCGGCCACCCACGGGGTGCCCACGCCGGGGAGACCCGTGACAGCTCGGGGACAGCGTCTTGTTTCCCTTTATCAGGCGGTGACACCACCAAGGGCGGGGAGAATTCCACAGGGAATCGCTTGGTTTCCTCGCGGTTTGTGCCTCGCGCGGGTCCATTCCACGCGCGGCTTGATCCCATTTCCCCGGGAGATCCCTTCCCCGCCTGGAGTCACTGCCGGGTGTTTGTTCCTGCAAGAGATTTGTCTGTGCATGTCGCGGCTCCACTCCCCCCCCAGCTTTAGCGAGGCTCAGTAAAACACAAATTGGCTTCTACACCCTAAACGTTTTCTGCTTCTCTCTGAAACTACCAAAAATAAAATAAAATTTAAAAAAAAAAGCCTGGGGGCTGGCAGAAGCTGTAAGAGGCAGCTGGAATTTCAACAAGCCCAGTTTTATTTGAGGTTGAGGGTGAATCATCTCCAGTTTGCTCAATGGGCCCCGCAGCTTAAAGCAACGGAAACAAAAAAGGTGGTTTTGTGCTGAAATTCTGATCTGCTGTACCCTGCTCCTGGGGGAAGGGAAGGGGAAGGAGAAGGGGAAGGAGAAGGGGAAGAGAAAGGGAAGAGAAAGAGAAAGAAAAGAGTAAAAGGGAATGGAATAGAAAAGAATAGATTTCATTTGGAAGACACCCACAATGATCATCTAATCCACCTGCCTGACCAATTCAGGGCTGACCAAAGTTTATTAAGGGACCCACCCTTTAATTGGGGTCATTACAGGTGTAGAAACTGCTTCTTCAAGGCAACAGCCAAACTACCGGGTTTAGCTGACACTGCAGTTGATGTCCAAAAAAAAAGGGAAAATCTGTTGACTTTGGTCTAAATGAATTTTAGTACAAATTATTCTGTTTCAGCTCTGCTTGTCTAAAAGATTGGGCTTCAAAGAGAGCAGCCTCCTCTCCGCTGGGGCACCAGCCTGGATTTTAACATCCTTCAGCTTCGTGTAATACTTGTCACAGGGATTCAGACCAAACTTAAGCGTGTAAAAATGTCTGTGGGAGTGGTTGGGAATTAAGTATTTCAGGGAATTAAGTATATGTTAATATATTATTATATTAATATATAATATATATAATATTTTAATATATTATATTTTAATATAATATTAATATAATTATCATGTTAATATATTAAGTATATATTCCTTAATTTCAGGAATTAAGTATATATACTATATACTTAATATATATTAAGTGTATTAGTATATAAGAAATATACTTAATCAGGGAGGAGTGTTGCTCAACTTGTCTCTCACAGCACCCAACCCACCCCACAGTGAATAGACACCACGATGTCTTGGGGGGTGTTTTAGGGTAAAGGGACCCAGAGAGGATTTAAGCCAGTTATGGTGAGGGATCCCTGATAAATGGCGTGAGGATCTGGAGCTTCCCGAGCCTGTAACACAGGCAGAAGGAGATCCCTGCTATTCAGAAGGACCCTGCAAGTCCTCGTTCCAGCACCTCCCTAAAACAGCCTTTCTGAGAGGACATGAACCAGGTGCACAAGTGGATTAAAGTGACAGGCACCAAGTGCTTATGAGCAGGTTTTGATGGGACAAGAGGAAACTGCCTCAGGTTGCACCAGGGGAGGGCTAGATTGGATGTTAGGAAAAATTTCTTCACTGGAAGGGTGATCATTGGACAGGCATTGGAAGGGGCTGCCCAGGGCAGTGGTGGAGTCCCCATCCCTGCAGGGATTTCAAAGCCATATGGACGTGGCACTTGGGGACATGGGTTAGTGGTGGGCTTGGCAGTGCTGGGGGAATGGCTGGACTCGATTATCCCTTTTCCAACCTAAAAGATTCTGTGATTCTATGCTTTCAGGTACTGGTGACTTCTGCCTTCACAGACAAGGCTGTCCTTAGTGCACAGTTTTTTCCCTTCCTCCCTAAGACTCCCCCCAGATGTCTTTGGCGAGGGAGATTTTCATCAAAAGCCTCTATTGCTATTTTCAGGATTTCACTTGAACGCTCCAAAACTTACCAAAAAAGCTTTGCCTGGCTTCTTTTCCAGTTCCAATGCCATAAACTTTGTGCTTCCAGTTATGCAGCAGACACATGGTATTAAAAAATTATGTGACCACAAGCCAGTGAATACACAAATCAAAATGTGAGCTAATTCCTTCACTTAAATAAACCCAAGCTGCAGCGAGGATATGTGAGGTTGGATGGGGCTTGGAGCAACCTGGTCTAGTGGAAGGTGTCCCTGCCCATGGCAGGGGGTTGGAATGAGATGGGCTTTAAGATCCCTTCCAACCCAAATCATTCTATGATTCAGCATCCACGGGGGGGGGCAGGGGGGTTGCTGAGAGCCCTTTGCACGCAGAGCTGAGACGTCCAACGATGCCCCCACGTCATCTGAGTCACCCTGTGGTGACTCACACGGCCTGAGCGAGGTGTGGCCACTGCGGTTTTACACTTTTGCCTCTCGGGATTGGGAAAAGCGAGCAGCTGGTTTATTGCCAGAGCTCTGAGCAGGCAGGGCAGGGCAGGGCAGGAACACCCGGGCCCTCCCTACGAGCCGAGCTGTAACTCCCAGCGATCCCAGCCCTCACTCGCAGCGTTGGGATGCCCGGCCCAGCAACCCCGGGCTGGCTGCTCTTCAAAAGTGGATGGAGAATTTAGTCATGCCTTAAAAAAAATGAGCATATTCTGTGGGTTTGATTTTTTTTTTAAAGCACTCCTAATTATGCTGTTTGCTTTAGAGACTCTCAGCCCTGCTCAGTGCCACAGACAATTTAAAACCACGAGGTGGGAGATGGAGGACCCAGGGAGCCAGGTTGGCCACGAGAGCACCCCATTCCTTAGGGATGTGCTCTTCACTGCAGCCAAACACACAGTTTCTAACCACAGTTTTCTTTCCCCCCCATTTTGAAATGCTCAGCATTTATCCAATAGCAAGAGCTGAGTGATGCATAACATTGGCTGGGTTTGGCTGGGGGAGAGTTAATGTTCTTCCCTGGAGCTGGTAGAGGGCTGTGGTTTGGGTTTGTGTTTGAAAGAATTTTGGTAACACAGGGATGTTTTGGTTCTTGCTGAGCAGTGCTTACACATGGATTCTCTGCTCCTCACCCCACCCCACCGGCAGGGAGGCTGGGATGGGACACACGTGACTCCAACTGGCTGATCCAAGGGATATTCCATGCTGTGTGGTGTCATGCTCAGCATATGGAGCTGGGGTAAGAAGGAGGAAAGGGGGGATGTTTGGAGTGATGCCGTTTGTCTTCCCTGTTTTGTCCACTTGTGGGTGGCTTTTGCTTTCCCTATTAAACTGTCTTTATCTCAGCCCATGAGTTTCCTTACTTCTACCCTTCCAATCCTCTGCCCATCCCACCGGGGTAAAGTGAGCAAGTGGCTCACAACAAATGGCCTCAGAGTCATGGGATCACAGAATTACTGAGGGTGGAAAAGACCTGTAAGATCCAGCAATAAGGCCAGAGATGAGCTAATTATCTCAGTTGCACAATGGGCTCAGGGTCAGTCCAGGACTGGGGGTAACTCACCCACCAACTCTGGGTCCCCAAGGCACTCGGGCCTCAACCTGTGGCCACATATAAATGAGTTTGCAGCTCCAACTCAGAATTATCCACCCTTCACTTGGTCCCAGTGCCCTTTATGCTGATTTATACTAGGAGTTAGTGTCTTCTGCATCTTCTGTTCTTGTGGATACTCAGCCACCCAGAGGCAAAAGACCCCACCTCAAGGGATAATCAAACTCTGTGAAGTTAAATAACCTTAAAGCAGCAATTTCAAACTATTTAGTGGAAATTGATAACCAGAAAGCTGCTCTTCTCTGTTTGATCATAAATTAACTTGAAGAAAATCAAACTAGAGGGCAAGAAGCTCGATGGCACAAGAGACCCAGTTCCCTTCACAGAGCAGAACAACCCACATCCACATGATTGTCTCAGTCTCATGATTTTCTGTGGCCTGACTCGTGCTTGGAGCTGGCAGCACCCCCCCTGTGCAATGTTTGGGCTGCAGATCTGCCACTGAGGCCAAGAATGGCACAATTCCAAAGTGTTAAACTTGGCCATCATCTCTCCTTCCTCCCTGTGCGACATCCCAGGCTGGGGAACGGGAACAGGGACAATGTCACCTCCTTTCCCAGTGCCACAGGTGCCTCTGTGGAGCCCCACACTGCACCTCCCCCGGGGGTCATTGCACTCTCAGCCCTGCATTCCAGTGGCTGAGTCACCTCCAACTCTCCTCAGCAATAAAAAAGGGCATTGCAGCGAAATCAGGCAACAGGAATCTTCAGGAATCTCCTCCGCGACCTGCCAGACTTGTGCAATGTCCTCCCAGGACTTCTGAGAACAGGGAATTGAATGGCCCATTCCAGAGCTTCCTTGGCTGCACCACTCACCTCCCCCTCTCCAAACATCATCTTGCCCCAGTACTGGTGAAAAACTCCATGAGAGGGAGGTTGAGACCTTCAGTAACTCAAGTTTGATGGTAAAGAAAGGCAAAATCAGCTGATAAAGAGCCCGGATCTCACAGCCCCACCCCTACTGCTCACATGTACCAGCAAGTGTGGCCTTGCTCTCTTTATCTTCCTTTTATTCTCTCTTTATAAAGCACAAAGCAAAACTCCTGCCTTTGCAGCTTCCCCCTCCTCCTGGAAAACAGAGGAGCTTCACTGGTGTGAAACTGCAGCTCATCCAGTCCCCTCTGGCTCTGACCTTGCCAGGAGAACAGCAAGTCCAGTCCATTCCGCCCCAAAAAGCTTCACCCAGCTCCTAACCCTGATGCTGCAGGTGAGCAAAACCCTGCTACAGTTTGAAGCTTTTATATTATTAAAGATGAAGAAATGAGAAGCACTTTGGTGCTGGTCTGAACACTAAGTTGCTTTTCAAGCGTTAAATGAGTCTTGTAGCAAATTGTGTCAACAGAGATTTACAAAAGTCCTCAAATCCACCCCCGGCTCCA